GGCTGCCATTGAGCCCGTGATGACGGGTGGCACCTCCGGCACCCGCCGGGGCCAATGGTACCCATCACCGGCCGGGCAGCGAGCGAACCGCCTTATTGGACTTTACCGTTACACGGTGTGGCGCGCGGTGCGGCGCGGCGCGGCGCGGCGCGGAGCTTGAAAGCCGAACCCCAACATCTCTCTCTCTCTATCTCTCTCTCTCTCTCCCTCTCTCGCTCTCCCTCCGCTCTGCTTGCTGCTGAGCTGGATACGATGGGATCGGAAGGGATCGCGGCATTAATTAAATCGCGAGGGCATAGCAGGAGGCAGTGGTGCTTCCTGGGCGTGCCGCCCGCCCGCGGCCAACCACCGCCGCACACCGGGGAGGCCGACGGCCCGTCCTGGAGACGGGGACCACGAGGGTTACCGCCTTCTCCGTCGCGTTCGCGCGTGCACGCGCCGGACCCCCGGCACCGATAGCCCGGCTCACAGTCAGCACACATGGTTATGCACACACGCTCCCGCCGCGCTGGCCCGGCTCCCGGCGGACTCCCTCCCCGCCCTCTATACGGCCCCGCGACCCACTTTCCAGCGGCAGGCTGCCAGTCGCGCCGGCAGCGGCAACCGGCCGGCCGGCCGGCTGAGGCGTGGCGGGCCGGTGTGGTGTTGTTGTTGCTGCTGCTACTGCTGCTGCCGCTAGGAAGAGAGGGGCACCACGGAGGCGTGACGTCACTCGCGAGTCACCTGTCGCACCCAGCAGCAGCGCCTCGTGCGCCCGTCACGCTCACAGACACCCGCCGCTGAGGTCGCCGACGCGAACGATCGACGCGACGGTCGCATCGAGTTTCGCGCGAATCGATCAATCTTCCCTTATCCCGGAGCGCTTCCAAGTCGCCGCCCCCGCCGTTGTGTCGTGATGCACCCTGTGTGGGAGGCGCCCAGCCGCACCCTTTGGCGCGCCTCCGCCCCCCGCCGCCCCGGAGATGTGCGCGGGGCTGCGTGGGCTGGGCTGGGCGGGGCCCGCGTGACGGGCGATTCACGTGCCGGTCCGGCCCGGTCCGCCCCTTGTCCCGTGGCCCCCGCGGGGATTTGGCGCCCGGCCGCAGCAGAGTGGCGCCCCAGGGAGCCCCGCCGATCCCCGATCCCCTCGGTGGGGAGTCTGTTAAGCCCTTTTGTCAGAGGAAGGCTCCGCGGAGTCTGCCCGCCCCCCCCCCTTTTCCCCTGAGTCTGTTTAAAGGACGTCGCTTGGGCACCCGCGGGGTCCTAACTCGCTACACTGTGATGTTCTCGTTTCTCCCCCTCCCCCTTTTTTTACGCCTAAACCAACGACTCCACGCCGCGGAGACGGAGATCCGCCAGGACGAGTTGCCACGCTTGTGATGCCCGGAGCGCCTTCATTTTAGTCGCGATATTGAGATTTTTGCAACTCGCTGATTATACAGTCCAACCCGGTGAGAAAATTCTGTAATTGGTAGTAAATTAATATCTGACTAGTAGTTTTTTAAAAGTCTTCGGAATGTAACTGCTGTGGTCTCTCAGTCTGTTCCTCCACTTGGTATATATATAATTTTTATTGTAATGATTCTCATATGTAAATAGGTTTTATCATAGTTTATTTATTTTCTGTCTGACTGTCATATGAATGTGCCACGCGATGTTGCGGTGTTGTAAATACTCTGTTAATAAAAGAAATGCAATGGAAACAATGGTAACAATCCATATCCCCTTGCATGGCCAGCCGAGCGCAAAAAATATCACCCGGTGGAGATTTGAACCAGCGACCAGTTTCATTCCGGGCCCGGACGCTACCGACTTGGCCTCGACGGAACGGTACAGAGCACAAGTTTCGGCGGCATCCATATCTAAGCTGTGACTGACGCCCGAAGACACTTGGCCAGCAAAGCAGGAAAAATGATCGCGGATCGGGATTCGAACTACTGACCATATCCACGATCTGCCAACGTTCACGCTTCATCACGCTCGGCTATCAGCTTGCTCCTCCGGAGCCGAGGTCTGACCGCGGTCCCTCCTAACGGGAGACAAAAAGCGAAAAAGAAAAAAATTGCCCCGCCCGGGAGTTGATCTTCGGGCCGACAATTTTGGTTCGGATGAAGCTGCATGCGGTCATGTCGACTGTAGCTACAACTGTTTAGCTACAAAAGGGGCGGGTGGCTGGTGGCGTCGGGTATAAAAAAAAAATTAAAAAAAAGTGTTCGCCCCGACCAGGACTTGACCCCAGGGTCGACGGTGTCTTCGGCACCACGCCCTAGCGCGCTCGCCACTCGGCTGTCGGCTGCACTTCCTACCGGAGAGTTCAGAACTCGGTCCTGGTTTTCGAGTCTTGGTCTCCCGGATTGCATGCGTTCAGGTCGGGTCAAGTCCACCTCCTCGACGCGCTGCAGCCCGGGTCGACTCCTGGCCAGAAACAAGGAAAATGACCAGTAAATGAGCCCCCCGGGCGCGCGGAGGTTAGGTTAGGTTCCATTTATTGGCCTTTTCCTGTGTTTCTGGTCAGATTTCGACCCGGGCTGCAGCGCGTCGAGGAGGTGGACTTGACCCGACCTGAACGCGTGCAATACGGCAGACCAACACCCTTAAAGCAGGACCAAGTTCTGACTGCGCCGTTCACAGGAGCAGGCGACAGCTCAGTGGCGAGATCGCTGGGGTGTGGTCCGGAAACCGTCGGCCCAGGGATCGAATCCCAGCCGTGGAACTTTTTTCGCGCTTTGTTCGTCTGCTACCGGCGACATGCGCATCTCGGCTGTCGCTGACGCCCGAAGACATGATCAACAGAGCGGGAAAAAAGTTCTACGGTTGGGAGTCGATCCCGGGGCCGAGGGTTTCCAGACCACACTCCAGCGCGCTCGCCACTCGGCTGTCGGCACCACTTGTCGGCAGGGAGGTCAGAACTCAGTCCTACTTTACGGGTGTTGATCTGCAGTACTGCACGCGTTCAGCTCTTGTCAAATCCACCTCCTCGACGCGCTGCAGCCCGGGTCGACTCCTGGCCAGAAACACGGGAAAAGGCCAATAAATGGAATCTAACCTAACCTCCGCGCGCCCGGGTGGCTCCTGACCCGACCTGAACGCGTGCAATACGGCAGATCAAGACCCGTACAGAAGAAACGAGTTCTGAACTCTCGGCTGACAAGTCAAACCGACAGCCGAGTGGCGAGCGCGTCGGGGCGTGGTGCACAAGACACCGTCGGTCCCGGGGTCGAGTCCCGGTCGAGGCCAACGTTTTGATTTTTAGGGTGGGGGAGGGGCGGCGGGCAGCTGAGTTGGCGGTCAAGTCCACCTCCCCATGTCGGC